ATAATTTTTGTTATGACGAGAATTTAAGAGTAATTTAATTACGTAAAGTTAATTTTTACATACAAACAAGGTAAATATTTGTAAATTTTTAATTTTATAATTGATTTATTTAAAAATTTTAACATTTTCACTCAATATTTGACCAGCGAATATAATAATTCTCCGGTTCATTAATATGCACTCTTTTGTATTGATTTAAAAAGAAAAATAAAAAAATAAAAAAAAATTAAAAATTTTTATTTTAACTTAAATGAAAAATTAATTATTACTCAAAGGTTTTAATTTAAATTTTTAATAAACAATCATTCATTTATTTATAATTTTATTTAATTCCGTGAGTGAAATGTTTAAAAAAAAAAAAAAAAACCTTTAAACTTTAGGATTAAAGTCTATTGTTACGCTTTTAAAATTTGATTGGACTGTTGTAACATTCAAATTCGCTGGTCATTTTTTTAATTGTTTTTCATTTTTTCATGAATTTTTTTTTTTTTTTAGAAAAAAAATTTGTTCTCCTAATAGTGTTTTATTAAAAGTCTATTATTTAAAAAATGTACATTCATTATTATTATTATTATTATTGCTCAAAAAAATATCGTTTTCAGTAAAGTTAATTTAACTAATTTAAAAATGATTGGAATGAGTTCAACATTAGTCGAGACTGTTTCAATTAATTATGAAGACTTTAATGAAAGTTTTTTAACTTGTGGAACTTGTTTATGTAAGTAAATAATATTCATTTTTAATAAAAAACTTTTATTTATAGCACTTAAAATTAGCACTTGTTTAAATGACTACAATATTTTTTATTAGATAGAGTTTATTTTTAAATCGATTGGAAATTTAGTTTGTTAGTTCTCGATGAAAAAAAAGTTTTTTTTTTGTACAGATTAATTTTGTAATATTTTTTCTTCACAGTGGAACTTTCCAACAAAGGTAAGGACTTATAATAACTTGTGGACTTGTAATTTTATTGGATTGAAAAGGTTTTCATTTTGTTTTTTTTTTAAAAAAAAATTTTTTTGGAATTTTACTAATAGAAAATATTTATTTTAACAGGTATGTACGATGGGAGTGAACATACTCCTAAACTCTTGCCTTGCTCACATACAGTTTGCCTTCATTGTCTGACTAGAATAGCAGCTTCCCAAACGAGAGACAATGGAACTTTTAGATGTCCAATTTGTAGAAAACTCATCACTATTCCAAGAGGGGGAGTTTCTGCATTGCCTCCATCTTTTTTAGTTAATCAACTCTTGGATCTTATGTCAAGACAACGAAGAGAAGTGATTCCCAAATGTTCAATTCATCTTACACAGGTAAGCATAGACTTTTTTTTTTTCTCTCTCTTGAAAATATATTTAAATTTTAATAATTTTAAATGAATTTTAAAGGAACTTTTATTCTGTGAAACATGCGACACAGTTTTTTGCTCTCTATGCACTGGATCAACCGGCCATTCATCGAGTAACGAACACACAATCATACCATTTTCGATTGCCATTAAACGAATGTCTGAAATATTACTTTACAAAGCCAACGAATGCATTTCAAAAGTTAGTTTTTTATTCATTGAAAATATTAAATTTAAAAAAAAATTAATTAATATATTTAAAAAATTCAGCTTGCAGAAGCACAAGAAACTGTTAAAAGTGAAATACAAAAAATAAACGTTGGAAGTGAAAAAGCAATTGAAAAAATAAATGACACGATAAATGAATTAAACGTATTAATTGAAAATAGGAGACAGGAAATGTTAAATGCCGTATCGGAAGCTGCACAAGAGAAAAAAAAAGTTTTAGAAGAACAATTAGCCATTATAGAAGGAGAAAAAAATAAAGTAATTAATTTTTTCCAATTAAAGTAAATTATTTCATGAGTTTTTTGTATGGGAGCATGCGGTAGGTTTTTTAAAAATTAAATTTTTTTTTTTTTTTTTTTTTTTTTTTAGGTTGAAAATGAATGCGATGGTTTACAATATCAAGTAGAAGTAAGAAACATAACGCAAAAAATTTCTAGTTTGGGTGAAAAATTAGATGCCGCATCAAGTTTAAGCGAACCGAGAGAAAATTCATTTCTCACGTGTGATTTCACTCATAATGATTCACTATTAAAATTAGCGGAAAATTTAAAAACGTTAATTTCTTTTAAATACTTTGAAGTTTTCTTTTTTTGTTTAAAAAAAATTTTCTTGCGGTAATGGGAGACTAATTTTCCGGATTGAAAATTTAATTTTTTCCAGATTGGGTAGAGTTAGAACGAGCACAACTTATCCTAGTCTTTGCACTTACGATTTGTGTGAAAAAAATCCAGTTGCTAATTTAGAAACGTGCGTTATATTAAACACTGTCGACTATCACGGGAATTCCAGATCAACTGGAGGAGATCCCGTTACGTCTAACGTCACAATGGAAGGGAATCCTAATAAAGAATTAAATGTGAGAGTTGAAGATTTAGATAATGGAACTTATAAAATTTATTTTCGTCCACCATTAGCCGGAAAGTTAGTTTTTTTTTTTTGCAAAATGTTAATTTTTTAATCGCTAACGTAAAGTAAAAATGTTTTTTTTCTTTTTTTTCCCCTCCCTCCCCCTCTAGGTACTTATTAAATATTCTAGTCTTTGATCGTGTCATACGAGGATGTCCGATTCCGATTGATGTGACTGATCATAACAATCCGATTACCACATTTGGAATGAGAGGATGTGGAAAAGATGAATTTTTACAACCCGTCGCCATTGCTGTGGACAAAGACACGCAATACGTAGGTTTTTATTTAAAAAAAAAAAATGTCGGTCGTAATAAATCAACTTTTCAAAACCTTTTCGTAAAAGTTTTATTTTATTTTATTTTTTTTTCTACCTTGCACAGTTTGTAAATGCGTTCAAAATGGAAAAGTTGAAAGTTTTTGTACCGTCGAAGAATTTTTTCGAAATAATCCGAATTTTTTATTAATTAAATTTTTTTTATTCTTTATTTTCCGAGGTTATATTCAAATGTTTTCCTTTTTTAACGTGAAATTTTTAGTAAAAAACGGGGAAAAATTAAAATTAAATTAAATTTTTAATTAAACAGATTTACGTCGTCGATACCGGAAATTCACGAATAAAAATATTAAATAAAGATTTAGAATTTATACGTCACATATATAACGAAGGTTTGGAAGGTCGAAGTTGTACAGGTATTGACGTTTGTAAAAATTATATTTGCATCGTTAATTGGCGTACGAAAACGGTGACGACCATGAATCACGACGGTATCACAATGTCAAAAGTAAGAAAAAATTTGATCGTCGTGAGAAATTCGATTTTATGTATCGGAAAAAAAAAAAAAAAAAATTGATTTTTTTTTGTATCTTTAGTTTTCTTATGACGAATTTCAAGAACCCATCGATATATCGATCGATAGCGAATATGGACATTATTTAATAGCCGACAGCGGATTGAGTTGCGTTTTTGTTTTCGATTCGTTAGGTAAACTATTATTTCAAGTGAGTATATATATATATATATGTAGGCACGGTGTGGGGGTGGAAAAAGTTCGTTTTTTAATTAATCATAACTCTTTAATTTTTTTCAATAAGGTTGGAAAAAAAGGAAATGGGAAAAATGAATGTTTTAATTTAATATCGTCCATTTGCGTCGGACCGAACAGTTCGATTATTGTGGCAGACACAAGCATTCACATATACTCGCCGAAAGGAGATTTAATCGAAGAAATAAATTCGAACGAAGTCAAAAGTAAGTGTGTTGTAGATTGGGAAAAATAATGGCGAAGAATCAATTATCAAATGATCATTTTCCAGGTCGGGGAAGGTACGGAGGTTTATCCGTCGACAAAGAAAATCGCATTGTCGTCGTGAAAACGGAAAAGAATAAAAACGTTTTGCAAGTATTGAAAATACCCGGAGGAGAAATATTATCAACGATTGATTCGTACGATTCGAAACTTAAAAGACCCGGAGGAATATCGGTGACAAACGACAATCACGTTGTTGTGGTCGATTTAGGTTACGATTTAGTTAGAAAATATCGTTATTGGTAGATGATGATGATGATAATAATATTAATAATAAAATACATACGATGGAAAGTGTAAAAAAAAAAAAAAAAATCATTCATTCGTCACGTGTGCACGAACTCTGCTAATTTTTTTTGGCTCAAAATATGCACACACGTGTAAATAATAATAACAAGCGACGAACACGTAATTCATTAATAATAATTGTTTTCACTTGTTTATTATTATTATTATTATTATCATATTAAACGGGTGGGATGTTATGTATTTAATTATTTTAATACCGATGTCGGAAACTTTAGAAAAATACCTCGTAATATAATTACATCATTTAATTGTAGAATATTTATTTTAAAAAAATGTATGTTTTCGTTTTTTTTTTTTTTTTGTGTGTAGACTTTATTTAATTTTTTTATACATATTTTGGGCCAGAAAAAATGTTTTTTTTTGTTCTCTCGATTCACATAAATCTATAAAAAAAGAAAAAATTATTTTCTAGTCTTTAAATAAATAAATTAATTAAAAAAAAAAAAAAGTTGCGATGGATGCCTTAATAAAATATAAATAAATATTTGCGGTTAGACATTTTTTTTTTATTTTGTAATTAGTAAAAAATTTTTTTTTCTTTTTTTAGACTGCATAAAAAAAATTTATTCGTAGTACTTATTAAAAAGTTACGATAATTATGTGTAAAAAAAAAACAGTTTTTTTATATATATATATTAATTTACAATAAGGAATGTAAGTTTCGAAACGATATTTAATTAAAAAAAAAAAAATTCTTTGCCATTAAATTAAGTATATCGACGATTATTATTATTATTATTATTATTAATTTTGTCTAGTCATTTCATTTGTTTTTTATTCGAGTTTTTAATAATAATAATAATAATAAAAAAATGTAAACAAAGTTATTACCTACCATTTAATAAAACTTAAATTTTTTTTACAATATTTGTTATTTATTTAATATTTAAATTTTTTGTATTAATTTTCAATATTACGTATAATTAATAAATATTGGAAATGATTTTTTTATTAATTTTTAATTTAATAAAATAAGATTGTTGTAATTTAAACTAAATAATTTTAAATTAGTTTGTAAAGCATTTTGTACCATTTTTTAATTTTTTTCTTTTTTTACGTATCGAATAAAATTTTTTTTTATTTAAAAATATAAAATTTATGTTTTGTTTTTATTTAATCTAACAAATATTATCCGTACTTTATAATAATAATTTTAATTTCCTTTAAAAAACCGAGAAAAAAAAATGTCGTTTTACATTTGTTTTTAACGTTGAGAATAAATATAAACAAACGTGTGTTTTCCCTCCAAAACAAAAATTTTTTTTTTTTTTCAAAAGTTGGCACCGCCGTTAAAACGACGCCAAAAGTTGTTACACGATCGGCCGTTGAAAATTGATTTGAGTTACAATTTAAGTGTAGTCGGTGTAAGATGTAGCCATCGAAAAAATTATTTATAAAAAATGCTTTTTTTTTTTTTTTGAATATTTTTAAAGAAAAATAATCGAATGAAATTTTATATCGTTTATAACAAATTTATAAATATTGCTACATTTTCATCTGATATTATTTATTTAATTTTTATATCGTTTTAATAAAAAAAAGTAAGAGAAAGAAAAAAAAAATTTTTTTTTTTAAAATCAAATATGGCTGGACAGTTCATTTGATCATTTTTTTTTTTTTTTTTACATTCTTTTACTTTTTTTTTTTTTTTGTTTTTAATCCAAATGAATTATGAGTTATGAAAATCGTGGGTTTTGTTTTAAACAATAGTTAAATTAATTTAATTATTCAATTCTTCGTATAACGATGTTCATTTTTTTTTCCGGGAAAATTTGATCATTTGTGTCAACACCCACACATTGAAACAAACACCGAAGTTGATTTTATTATTATTCTCCATGTTAAACATATGTAAGTGTGACATTTTATATTTTCTTTTTCATCTCCTTTTTTTTTATTTTTGTTTGTTTGTTTTAATTTCATAATTATGAAATATGAATGTTGATTAATAATTTTCTTTTTTTTTTTTTTCACAATTTTTTAATTTAATTGAATTTTTAATTGTCCAAAAAAAAAAAATTTAACTGTAAAGCCAACTATTTTTATTTTTTTCTCCAAAAAAAAAAAATTATTCATATTTTTTTAAATTTTTGGCTTAGTTTTTCTTAATTAAAAATTAAAAATACTCAGATAATTATTTAAAAAATGAAGAGTGTGACATTTAAAATTTATTTACTCATTTAACCAAGTTTGAATAATGAATATCGAGTTGATGAAATAAATGTTAATTTTTATGTATTTGCTTGTTTCGATAATGGTTTTCGATTGTAATATTAATTTTCTAAATAATCATTATTATTATTGTTATCATTATTATTAATTTCATGAGCAAACCTTTGAAAACTCGAGAGAGTTTGATAATTTTGTCTCTTTACATTATTCGATTATTAATCAGTGATGTGCAATTATTTACTTTTAGTAAAACATAATCAACATACTGACTAAACGATAACACAATGATTTATAACTAATTTTAAATTAAACATCATGACATTATTTAAAATCTGATTTAAAATAAAAGACTAATGTTATTATTATTATTATTATTATTATTATTATTATTATTATTATATTACTAATCATGTAATTTTATGATGACGACTTTTGTGTTCAACGTTTAAAGTTTTAAAAACATTTATGTTTGTCATAAAATTGTATCTTAGAAAAGTAACAAGAATGAAATAATAATGGTAATAATAATAATAATAAAAAGGAATTTTAAACATTAATTTATGTAACATTTAGAAAATTAGTTCAATAGTCGCAATGACTGACTGACTAAATGATAAAAAATTTTTTAATATTTAAAACCAAAACTTTATTTGTTTTTTTTTATCAATTTCATATGTAATAACTTGTTTTTATAGTCATATGAAAATTTTATATTATTGAAAACAATTATTATTATTATTATTATTATTTTGAGAAAAACATGACTGAAAAAAAAAAAATTTTTGTTTATCTGATTGTATGAAAACTGTTTTGTTTTTAAATGGAAAAATATTAATAAATAAGAACAAAAAAAAGGGTTTGAAACATAATAAGGAACAAAACAAAAACAACAACAACAATCAACCTGTTATCTTGTTACCCTTTAAACTTTAGTTTTTATATTTTAACCTCCGGTTATTCAATTTAATTATAATTAATTTTAAAACGTTTTTTTAACAAAAAACAAGAAAAGAAAGAGAGAGAGAGAGAGAGAACATAATTATATTAAAATCAAACAGTTTTCCATGTTTTGATTTTGTTTCCTGGGTATCGAAAATACTAATAATAATAATAATAATAATAAAATTATTTATTTATAATGCTAGGAAAACAGGGTTAAATCTCTGGAGTTTGTTTTTGTTTTATTTTGGAAAATTCAAATTTTTGCTTCGTGTTTTTGCAGACGTAGAAAAAAGGTTAAAGTAAAAAGATGATTATTTTTCCTTCCATTTCGGTTTTTTTTTCGGGGAGGCGGGAGGGGAGAGGGGGAGAAACAGGGGGTTTTTAAATTAATACAACTTTTGCCGAATTTTTAATGAAATTTTTTTGTTTTGTTTTGTTTTTAAATCCGATGTGACGTTTATTGAATTAGTTTTTTAAATGAGAAACATTTATGACGTGAAAGTTTTGCCCCCCCCCCTTTTTTCCTTCCCTCCCTTCCGCCCCCGGAAAGTTTAAGCTTTTTTTGTTACGAATCCTTTTTCCCTTCCCTCTCAGCTGTTTTTTTTTTTTTTTTTTTTTTGAATTTTTTCTGGTGCGTTTGTTGACGTGTTTGTTTTGTTTCCTTTTTTCTCTCTTAATTTTCTTTGTTTTTGTGTTTTTTTTTGTTTGTTTTCTTTTTCTATTTTTCCAACAGATGAAAACATAACAAAAACAAAATCGATTTGATTGGTTTGAGGTTTTTCCTTTCTTTTCTTTTGTTTTTTTTTTTTTTTTCATAAATTTTTAATATCATTTATGCGTTTGTTTGGAATTAGTTTTTTTTTTTTCCCCCATCGAATTTTTGTTGTATTATTTTCTCCATGTTTTTCTCTTCCCCCCCCCCCGCGTTTTCCACCTGGTAATATTTTAATTTTTTTTTTTTTATATAAAAAATATCATTTTGCGCATGTTTGAAAGTAATTATATAAAATAAAATGAAAATGAAAGGAAAGGGAGGGAAAAAGAAGCGTCGAATTCGTTATGCGTTTTAATTTTCTTTTTCTGTCGTAGTCTGTTTGTTTGTTTGTTTGTTTTCTCGTTTGTATCATTGTTTGTTACCCTTTGTTAAATCGTAATCAATGATGGAAAAATAAAATAAATTAAAGTAAAAAAAAGTTTTTTTTTAATTAAAAAGTTTTTTAAAACAAGTGTTTGTGAACCCTTTTTTTTTTTTTTTACGAAAAATAAAAAGAAGGAGAATGAGAGAGAGAGAGAGAGTGAGAGTGAAAGTGTGAGAGAGAGAAAGAGAGGAATAGAAAGAAAAAAACATTCGTCGTATGGTACCGAAATAAAATTTAATTTTATTCACGGAGGATTCACTTTTGTTTTTAATTTTTTTATTTCTGCTGTTTAAAACAGTTTATACATCTGCATTTTTTTAAACAATTTTTTTTTTTGACCTGCAGCATTAACATTTATGTATGTTTCCCTTCTTCCCTTTAAAAAAAAAAAGGACGACCGGGAGTCGAAACATTGTTTTTTTCCTTCCCTCCCCCCTTCTTCGTTCTCTTCTGCTTCTTCTTTTTCTCAGCACATTTGAAACGTGAATGTGATATAATTAGACATGTTTGATTTTTTTTGTAAAATATTAACAGTTAACCGGAGTCTGAAAGGATAAAAAAAAAAAAAAAAAATTATTATTAAACGGGGAGCCGCTGCCGCTGCCGTCGCGCGTGTGCTTTTCTAAAATATTTGAAAAATCTATGCGTTCAAAAAAATTTTATTTTACTATTTCCGCCGCTCCC